TACGAAGCTGATTTTTTCCCATAAATCGCTTTTTCCCATAACAGCTTAAACTAACAAATAGGTATATAGTGACTTGATTTTAACTATTAAGTAATAACTACACAGTATCAACAAACATTTTTTTATTGAATAAGACTTTAAACCGCTCAACATCAACTATTCGCCATTTATCAAAACATTCGCATCCGTCCACAAACACGTGAACGATTTCGTATATCTTCGATTCAAATCGGTCATGGTTCTTCTAAGTTCACACAAGTACCGGGTGTTGAAAAATGCATGACACATTTTTTATTTTGCATATATCTCAATACAGAAAAACAATAAAATCTTGACTCTTTTTCTTTAAAAAATGCGCAATTCAATTCTCGACAAAGTTCTATTTATCTTAATTTAGAATAACAAAACTGAACGTTTTTATAAGTGACATAGTGTGATTATATGAATTGTGCCTAGTTCTCAAAACCTTTTATAACAAAGCATAATTGTAGTATGCAGATTTCTGATTAAAATGAAACATCTTCCAGCTCTACATGACCTTTCTTTGCAAAGTTATACAATTTACAAGAAAAGCTCTAATGTTCATTATCAGCTCAAAGCTTCAGAAATAAGAAGAAATTAATTTAGGATTTTTCTTGTAAATTCAGCGAACTGTACCAACTAGGATATGTCCCATTGAAAAGTGAGAGCAACACTAGGGACCTTGCCCCCTGAGATATATGGAAAAAACGCTTATCAACATTTTTCTACGTAAAAGACAATTTTTGCATAAGTGCCATTTTGGGAACACAAACATTTTTCCCTTGATAAAAAGTGTATGATCATATGAAATAAATGTCGGCGTCGGCGCCCGCATAGTAGGAAGATGCAATAACTGGGAAAGTGTAAGGGTCTTGGTCATGAAGATGGTATTGTAGGTAATCGACCATGACCAGTCAGAAAACGACTATGAGCGAACTCTAGGTGTAATCCCATTGGTCGAATTGTTTTTTCGACTAGACGGGATGAAGGTGGTATGACAGGGATGATCGAGTGTGATGAATCAGAAAACCACTATGAGCGACCTTCAGGAGAAATACTATTGGCCGTAATTTGCTTTTAAAAAGGTTTCTTAATTATTAGGTTTCTTAATTAAAAAGGTTGCTTAATTATTAGTACCACAGTGAAATATTAGAACAAACCTGAGAAACATAGGAAGCAGTGAGTGCTGTGTAAGTAATGGTGTAACGCACACTATTCATAGATGCGAGTATAAGGAAAGAAAGAAAACGTGTATGCAGAATGATGTGAAAAAAACGGATAACCAGCAGAAGTTCAAATAAAAAATATAGGTAGAAAAAGAAGCAATGAGATATAAAAAAAAGTACCCATAAATGCAATTGGAATATATTTGTTGAAGTAATTAGTGTGGAAACATGTTGATTCCAGTAATTAATCTGAGCTCATATGTGCCAGTATCAATTAATATGAAAGCATGCTGTTATCAGAATGCTCCCACGTTTATTAGTGGAATCAGCCTAATCCTTGCAAATATGTCCTTTAACACGTCATATATATATATATATATATCATTCGATATAATCTAGCCTTACATATAAACAAAGAAAAAAGAAACAATAATTGAACCGGTTCACCTCTCCTTAGACAACCTGGTGTGATAGATTCCTCTCTTCAAACCATGTTGATGCCAAGGTTAGTGCGGACACTCGATCAACATAGGAGACAACGGCAAACAGTGATCCCACTCGCAAGCCATTCAATACAACCCGGCTCTCAAAGTAGCTTGAGTTACAGGAATACGCCGCGCCGCTATTCCCAGCCAGTTCACATGTTCGAATCTCTATTCGTACAAAAATTGATTTTGTGTTTTTCGATAGTTTTAGTTTAGGATACTATAATGGAATATTCTTCCGCTTGTATTCTGACAGAATAAAGCTTATATCATATCAAACAATAATTGACGTTTCTCTTTTTCTTTAAAAGTGCCCCATTTTAAAACCATATCTTTACCACCGACGCATTTTCAGTCAAGGGTCAGTGAATCGAAGACGAACGTTACTTATGTAAACGAAAAAAATAAAAGTGTTCTTCATGCTTAAGCTTTCTAACTGTGTGTTCAGATATTAGTTATCGCTCTTTGTTGCAGAGCAACGTCATCATCCCTGAAAGCCTAGAAGAAAGGTTCGAACAGATTTTTTTTCTTCACGTTTTCGTATAGTTATTCGTCATCCTTGAATAATCATTTTACTGAGCTCATATTGGCTTCGTTACTATTATCCAGCCAACATACGATATTATCTCCATTTCAAATCACTACTCACCCACCCTATCAACACCAAAACATTAAATATAAAAAATCTCAGCGAAAACGTTCGGAAAAGATCAAAGTTATAACTTTGCTGTTGTATTACCGAAAATCGCGTCTTATTTCGCGAGTCTTACAGCGAACGCGTTACGCGATCCTACCGCGGATTCTTAAAGAGAGTCGCATCGCGACATGCGATAAGAAAGTGAACTTGGGAAAACTTGGTCATACATATCATCTGACTGTCATTGTCCGAAGAGAAAACTGGAAAGTCATGATAATAGAAAAAATTCCACTTAAAACTGATTTAACTACTCAATGAAAACAAAAATTCTATGTCTTGATGAAGTGAAGCAGTGACATTGGAAAAGCAATAGTTGGGTCGAACAGCGTAAGATCTACGTACGATAAATAAAATATTTCTTATACTAGATGCGTCCTTGACTTCGTTACAGATCTCTAACCAGCGCGGACTTTGGGGGTATGTTTGTTTTTTCCCTAATCATTTCTTACATTATGAGAAAATTTCTTTGTTTTTCGATTTACTTCCTACTGGTACTCTTATACTCTTTATAGAAAATAAGATAAATAGGTTTAGTGACGCCATTAGTTGGCTTTTTCATTTCTTCTCTCATCCGATATTTGCGGCGTCATTTTTCTTACCTTCTAATCTACATGCGCCATAAGAAAAATAACCTTTTCTTAGAGCACGTTCGTTCACGAAGCAAAGGAAAAAAAGAGTACATAAAGGTTGTTTTTATTTCCTTTGCATACAACAAAGTTGGAAAAAAACAGTGTACTTGATGTACTTCAAAACATTTCCTTCATGCAGTAGTATAAAAATCAGCGATTATTTAGAAATTTTGATTCTTTCCAAGAAAGTATTGAATAAGTAAGTATTAACCACGGCCTGTCGACTAGTGCGTAGAGGCCTACAGGTCACGCACAACCTGTCGTAACCTGTCCTGTCCTGGCAGTTTGGGACAGGTTTAGGTTACAAAAAATTTTACAGATAGGTTACAGGTTACACTACCCGTATCCTGTTTTCAACCTGCAAAAATTATGTTAAGCAGTATCTGTAAATGTGAAGAAATAAGAACTCGAAAAATAGTTTTTATTAGTCAAAAAATATTTAGTGCATCAGGAAACTATTGGACTATTGGCAACACGAAAACAGTCGTTGAATACAGATGTTGTTGACGATATATTATTGATCAGAAATTTCAAAGATCGTTTGTTGTTGGTTTTTGCTACATAAATAAAGTAAATGAATAATTTACTTTATCAGGAAAAATTTTCGAACTTGGGTACTCAGTTTTAGCAGTAAGTTTTTCACAGGACAGGATAGAACAGGTTACGCAAAAAAATATGGGTGAGTCTATTGCCACCACCACGAGGTGTCAACAAGGGCTATTGACACCACCAACCTCCAGTGAGACTATTGGCTCATGAAAAGCTATTGACACCTACTGGGGGTGCCAGCAATGGCTGCTGACACCTACTGGAGGTGTCAACAGTGGCTGTTGACACCATCATAAGAAGTGGCACCAAGAGCTGTTGATACCTCCAACCTCCAGTACATGAAATAAAGCTAGCACAATATATTTCGATTAGACAGAGACATCACTTAGATTTATCATTTGCTATTGTTTCGCTAGTGCAGAACATTTTCAAAACCCGAGAATAACGAAATCAAAGAGAAATCTGAAATTTAGTGAGAGTTTGCTTATTCTTCACCGTAAATAAAAATTTGAACTTTAAAAAAGAAAAACAAAACTATCGGAGCTTGAACGATTTTTCACTGAAAAGCATTATGAGCAACACTGTAAGATTTCGTTACTCGAGCTGAAGAATGAGAGAGCTGAAATGAGCACTTTCGTTACTGACTGAAATTTTTGATTCGAGCTTATTGGTTTTTCTCTCGATGCGTGAACTCTCTCGTGACACCTCTGGTGGTGGTGTCAATAGCCATTGCGGACGCCTCCAATAGGTGTGGATAGCTCTTGGTGACACCTCCAGTAGGTGTCAATAGCTCCTGCTGACACCTCTTAGTGGTGTCAATAGCCATTCCGAAAAAATATTGCAGGTTAGGACAGGTTACAGGTTACGAGGCATAAGATTATGAAAGGTTGTAGGTTGTTAAGCTTTTTACAGGACAGGTCATAGGTTATGAAAAAGTTGTAACCTGCAGGGCACTACTAGTGTGGTCGAAAAATTTTCCAGGTGAATTTCAAGATCTTCAGGTTTCTTTTTTCCAGACATTATGATGGTACATAGAATTTTTCATTGATGTAGACAGAACTCGACGAGCTCTTTCATTTGATATCAGACTCAAGGTTCTGCGTTAGGGACTACGATTTGGACAAGTTTTACAAGTTAAGTCGAATCGGCTGGAAAATAGTAAAAAATGCACTTTTAGCTGGTAGGATAAAATTGCCATAATTTTTTTTCCTACAAAGATGGAGAGCTGTGGTGTTCGCCATTCAATTCAGCTCATCGAGTTTATGTCGCGCTAACGGTGGATTTAATGGTGGTAGGTATCATATAGATTGACCCTATTGCGTACGAACTTGTCTAAAACTTTAGTAGTTTTATCTAATTTGTTGAGGCCCTTCTTCATTTTTTATTCTAGATTTTGAATCATAGTTAATTTTTTGCGCTTCTATTTGCAAATACTACATTTCAAAAGACAGATATGACTAAAACACAGCACCGAAATTTAAAGACAGCTCTAACTTTTGAACCGATTGAAAACCATAAGACCGAAGTATGTTGCAAAAGTTTTGAATCGTCTCTGCCACAAAAACCGCAAACAAGTCCAAGAACAACAGCAGAAAAGCAATTTTTAGAATCGAAAGAAAAATTTAATAGAGAATTGGGACCAATTATAAAAGAAATTCAACAAACGTTCACTAATTCAAGAGCACAAACAGACGCACAAATCAAAGCAGCTGGATTTTCGTATACTGCAAATAATAATGACTCAGTACAATGTTCACGATGTAAGATTGAAATATTCCGCTTGACGAAAGAGATGAAACTATTTGAAGAGCATGAAATTCGAAGTCCGGAGTGTCCATATGTGAAAGAAATGCGAAATAACAACGAACTAAATGAAATAACAAAGAGTATGTTCTAGACTAATCTCGACTCTCAGCAAAATTATTTAGGTCGATCAATATCATCTGTTTAAGGTAAACCACAAAAACTACAAAAAACAGAAGCAATGACATGTGTGGGCGATGCTGCAACAAAAAAGTCCTTGAATAAACAAAAACAACATGGAGCACAAAAACAGACACAACAGAATGTTACTTCTCACTTAAGTGAAATTCAAATTATTCGTGACGTTCGTAAACATACGTATTCTCATTGGCCACATAAAAATCCGTCGAAAGCACAAATGACCGATGCAGGATTTTTTAGTTGTAATATCGGTGATAGAGTTATCTGTATCTATTGCAACATTATCTGTCAACAATGGATACCATACAAAGATGATCCAGTTGAAATACACAAACTTTTATCTCCAAATTGTCCGTATGTAAGATCGATTTTAATAAAAAACGCGTCAATGAACAATATTTGTATTCTAAACGAAGTAGATCATAAATCGTCTCAACAGGTATCCGCCAGTGGTAACAATAATAATTCAACCAACGTGGCCAATATTCGATCAAACGAAATTGTTTTGACTGCGGCCTGTAATCAACAATATATAGAACTACCCAAACGTACGACATCATTTGCCACTTGGCCTACTGAACCCTTGCCATTAGTCGATGATCTGGTGAAATCAGGCTTCTTCTACACTGGAACAAAAACGATAGTGACGTGTTTTTACTGTAACGGTTCTCTTCAAAACTGGGGACCAAATGATAATCCACTAATCGAGCATTCACGATGGTTTCCACATTGTGCGTACGCTAGACAACTTTGTGGCGATGATTTATATAGAAAAATTCAAGAATCAAAGCGAGCTGCTCAAGGTAACATAATTGAATTTTTCTACCGTTCATATTGTAACAGTCCTTCATGTTTATATTAGAACGAACACGATCAAATGAACAACAGCAAAAAAATAGTTTTTCGATATTAAATATCAATGAAACTTCAAACAACAATAGCGGAATTGCTCCCAATAGCAGACAACTACAAATTCCAGACGAAGCTACATTATCACGATTAGTCGCTGCTAGATTGGATTGGCCAATCTCACAAAGTTTATTAAATAAAAATTTTAAATTGTCAATTATAAAACGTTGTTTTGAAGATCAACTACGCTTGAAACGTAGGTTTTTGAAAAGTAAATATTGTAGTCTAATTCATTTGAATATTGTTGCCTATTTAGATAATGATTTTATCAGTGATTCTGACTTGTTGTTAGCATGCATTATACTTCAGAAACAAATTGAATACATTGATGGCAAAAAAGAAAATATTGTTATACCAAGTGTATTTATGAAAAAATTAGCAGAACAAGCAGAAAAAGAACGCGCAGGTATAGTTAAAGAACAATAACTAACGTTGCACTTTCAATACATTCGTCTTTTTTCTCATATTCTTCTTATAGATAAAGAAAAGCTTGAGCGAAATACATGCCATTCTAATCAAGCGCAAACCACATCTCTACGAACGACATTGTCTTCATCTTCATCTTCTACAGGTGAAGATGCTGACATGGCATCATTAACTAATGAATCAGTAACGTCTAATTCTTCATCATGTTCCATTGAATCAAACATCAATGTTAAATCAATTGATGAAAAGCCAAAACCAAAATTAGATCTCAAAGTAGAAGTATCAAATCCTTGTGTACTCTGTCTAACTGATGAAAGACGCTTAGCGTGTATACCTTGTGGACATTTAGCAACCTGCGTGCCTTGTGGTCATTCACTTCGAACATGCCCCATTTGTAGAAAACAAATAGAAGCTTTTGTTCGTGTATATATTTAAATTTATTCGAATGGTTGGATGGTTGTTGGAAGTTGTTGTTAGTTTGAGCGGCAGCAAGCAGTGAAAGTACGAGAATAAGGTGGATTGGAAATTTGTCAATGATATTTGAAGAAATATTTATGTTCTATTCGTTAGATAACATGGTCATATTCATCTGACAGATGCCAGAACATCTCATGCCTTGAATGCCGAAAAACACTGCCGGTTAATCGCTAGTGTACCGAGCGGTTTGAGATTATACTGCGCCAACCCATCTGAGAATGGCGGTATTCTGGAAATGTATTTGACATGGAATACATAAGACTTATTGAAACATTCTAATACGTGATTCAAATATAATTAAATAATTTTTGATTTTTATGAGGGAGTTAAAATAGAAGTAGATATTGTCCATATTGAGCAAAGTTTGTATGTACATGTTGTATAAGCTTTCCTGTTAGTAGTTGGCTAAGACAGGATTCAAGTTAAACGATATCGCTTTGAGAAACACAGCCATAAGAGATTTAGATGTTCAATAAGGTGTACGTTCTATGCCAGTGGTAAACATTTAAAAGAAGTTTGTATGAAAAAGAATCAAGCTCAGTCTCAAAAATCCACTTGGACAAACCAATAACGGATTAAGTTCAAGAACTGATGCAATGATCGTTGAATTTAAAAACCTGGCTTGAGGATCGGGTGACATTAAACCGAACGAAAATGAATTTTAAAGGAAGAGACTCAAATCTTTTAATCTGAAGGACGGGTAACGATTTCTTACGGAAATCCGCCCACCAATATTTTTCAACTTTAAATAAATACGTAAATTCCATGCTAATTTGGAGAAAAGTGCTTGACATTAAGAACAAATCAGAAAAACAGCCAACTTCTGAGGTTAAATTAAAATTTAGAGATTTAAATCTAATAAGAGCACAACCGTTGTTTTTTACAACCAAATGGTACAGTTATATTCTTTCTATTCGGAGGAATGTATAATGCATACCAAATGCTCACAAAAAAAAGAAAAAAAAACATCCGGTTATATTTTTTTATCTATAAAAAAAGTAGTTTCATCCCGTTTTCTTTGTTTCTCTTTTAACAACAGAACTGAGTTATTACTTTGATAGTTTCTATATACACACAGATAGATAGATAATATTCCAAGAGCACAACTTGTCATTCTTGTTTTTTTCTTCGGGAAGTTATTTTTTTTCTTCATGATGCGAATTAAAATAAAATAAAATTACTATCGCTTTTATGTATAAAGAACAGGTATTTAAAAGAGAACGGAATTTGTATATGATAGAGAACGGTTCGATATTTAAACTAAAATTTGAAATTAAAAGAGAACGGTTTTTAATTTTAACCAAAAGCGACTGAAAAGAGAACGGTCATGTATAAAAGAGAGAATGGAAGGTAAATACTTTGTATATTTCAATAGCAACGTTGTTTTATTTTGAAAAATAATTATTTAAAATACATACACACATAATACTGACAATTATGTAATATACATTTTTTAGTGATACTTATAAGATAAAATAGGTTTTTTCTGAGCGGAGGAGCTTAAATGTGTTGTTGCTAGCTTGATAAATGAATAATGTTTCGAAACAAGACGGGTGATTGTCTTTGAAGAAGTACAAACAATTGGAAAAGAGAATGAAGCTTGATATATATCGGCTGTATATAATAAATTAGTATAAAATGAAATATTCTGTAGTAACTGCGGAATAGAGCAATAGCGAGCAGAATATATCTGAAACATTCCTCCAGCCTCTTCTGAACAAATTTATCGGTCTTTTTATCGTAAATAATACCTTTTTTATCTATATTATTGTCTATACTTAAGATTTAGCGCTTTTAGTCAGTGCTATTACTCCTTTTACTCTCTTTACTATGTTTAGTCCTTTTACTATTGTTGATTTTCTACTTTCTTTACTCTTTTACTATTTTTAGTTATAAAGTGAGCGTGAGGGTAATAGTTGTGATATGCGTGAAACAGAAAGTAAAGAGAGTAAAACGTGTATACGGAGTAAGAGACTAAAGGCAGTAAAACAATTAAGGGACTAAAAGTGTGACAGATGTAAAAGTACGAAAGTATAATTAGACTATTAAGCTAAAATGAGAGCTGTAGCCTGGTATGTAAGCTAAAAAAATTTCGGTAGAAACTTTGCACTATCTCCCAGTCTTTTTATTTCTGGATTGTCAATTTAGAATTAAGCAGTTAGAATAAAGATGTACAAAACTTAATGAATGAAGTTCGAACCTATCTATGTTAAGTTTCTGGCAACGGATACCATTTATTGCGTTTAAATAATTGTTCACAACTACTTGTCGCGCTAGGCGCCCATGCCTCACTTTCGGCCAAACCGATTAGTTGCTATTTATGCAAAGAATTATTCAAATGAATGACGGTTTCCTCTTCAGATTGTGTGGGAGTAACGATTTCTCATTTGTAAGGGAATTGTCAAATACTGAGTTAAAACGTTCACTCACAACTTTCTCTGTGTGACGCAGGTTGAAGCGTTGGCGACAAGGCAGGTCTGTGTTGCTCAAAACATATTGATGATCCTGAACGTTGTTAAACAACTTCCGAGCAAAGTTCACGCCCCGGCTCTTCCCCGAATATCGATATCAATGACAAGTTTAAAACTCTAGAGTTGGATAAACGTTTTTTATGATACTAGGACGTCGAAAACAGTGTAATTAATTGTCTAGTATATGCCAGTTAATAGCTAATGAAATAGTCATTAAATGGTTATTTTTACACCTTATAAATCGGAACGTTTTAATGCCTTAAAATGACATTTTTTAACTGCCAGAAAACTGTCCGATAACAGGCAGTTACTAGCATCATGTAATGCCCGTTTTGACACCATTACTGCTGCTAACCGTCAATTATCGAATGTTTTCTTTGATTAATTTTTTAGGTTTAAGTTTTTTAATGAATTATTTATCTCGATTACAGACGTTCCTGTCGTAGACTTAGCACACAAAGCTAACTTGGTCATAAAATTTTAATATCTCAGAAACCACTTGACCCTTACGAAACTTTTTCGCCAGTTAATTGCCAATTGACAAAGTATACGTTTAAAACGTTTGCGTAAAGACCTATTAACGGAGTATAATTCGGATATACTTTTCAGTATATTAGGTATAGGCATTTTTGTTTCTTTTCTGTTTTATAGTAGCTCATTCTGAGAGATTAGATACAATGACTCTTGTCGATTCCAATCTACCAGAAGCACTATGTTTGAATTTTTCTCATTCTCAATAAAGTTTAAACTAAATAGAATAATGGCGCAGTTTCGTCATTCTATTTTGTAAGAAGTTACAAAACTTGATTTCTAAATGAGAGTGTCGATTTCTACGTTGGAGCTATGCTCGGACGAAGAAGTTGAAATAAGGTGTGGAGAAATAGAAACTTGATTTCGATAGTTGATCATCAGCGTATTTCGATTGATCAAAAGAATTGTCAATTTGTGCATGGTGAACGATATTGGCTAGATCCATGTAGAGACCATTAGAAGCGAAATATGTCGATAGAAAATTTTGAATATGCATAGCTCAATCGGTCGAATACATTTGAATCAAGTCTGTTAGTACGGGCCTGAGCGTAGCAATTTGATCTTGTGTTTGATGGGCGAAGCGATCAAATAAATCCGAAATATACTTGGAACTGATACTGATCTGATGATATAAGAATTTGATTGTCATAAATGTACTTTCTATCAGACAATTGAACGCAAGTTCAAATCCATCTTGGACGAAGCCCAATTTATACATGATTATTTGTAACGTAGCAGTTATTCCAAAATGTTTTGGATTATCATCATATTTCGAGTATTGTGCAATGATACAATCTCGATATCGATCATTGTCGTCGTTCTTTTTCATTCTTACCACCTTCCTGTGGACATTTCACACATGTTTCGAATCAATTTCTGTCATCTTATCTAGAGCATTACTATAACATGTTTCGGCTTCCTATCATCTCGCCACGTTCCGAAAACCTCGTCTTTTGTTTGATACGAAATCCGCGTAAAAGATAGTTCGTATCCAAAAAGAAGACGAGACTTTCGTAACAATTTCCTTCAAAAGACACGGTTTTCGCATAGAACTTTATAGGGCTTTCGTAAACCAGTGTTTATAGTGTAATAATTACTGTCTTAGATATCTCATCAGTAGGGCTTTCGTAAAAGATGTATACAGGTCTTTCGCACCCGAGTGTCTATGAAAATACAGGGCTTTCGCGATTCCACCCTCTCCTCCTCACACCGTGATCAAAACGTTTGGTCAGCCTTAAGTATATTCTGATAGCGCTGGAAATTCTCTATCGTCCTATATATTTGTCTACTGTCTTGCATTTATCTATTGCAAAAATAACTTGAGTACAATGAAGACACCCTCAATTGATAAGCGTGCCTGCATGATAATCAAATTATTCTTCAGCACAGAAATGCAAGATAGAACAAAAATATACAGGATGATAAAGAATTTGAAGCTCTATCAGAATGTTTAATTCCTTTCTGAAAGATTTATTTCCATAGTATCTATAATTTGAAAAAGCATAAAAAGTAGCGAATTTTTGTACTTGTCAATTGAGGGTATCTTCATTCTACTAAGTTATTTTTGCAATAGTTAAATGCAGGACAGTAGACAAATATAGAGGACGATAGATAAATTCAAGCGCTATCAGAATATACTTAGAGCTGACCAAAGGTTTTGATCACGGTGTGAGGGGAGCGAGCATCATCGTTCTACGAACTTTTGGCCAACCCTAAGTATATTCAAGAGCTTGACAACAGTATACTTCTGCATCATGTCAATTCTGCCAAACGGAATGTCTTTCTTGCTCTGCCGTTAATTTAACTTCACAACAAACTGAAGTTGCTGTACAAACAAAGTGTTGTGAAGTGACATTCTTCACAACAGTTATCATTATAATTAACATCGAACTTGTTCACACGGTAGTTGCTCTTGGAATAGTGAGAATGTTTCGACCAGAAGATAGGCAACAACGG